GTGAATTAAGCATAACTAAATCTTAGATCTAGGGTTTAGTATAGAGGAATGAAGACGAAGATTGCACACCTTTCTGAATGCCAAAATTCTGAAAAATGTGTAGATGAATTCCGAGGCGTCGAGTTGATCATTTGGGCATTAATAGTCATCTTGGCAAATTGATGATTGGAAGTTCGCGGGACGGCGATAACAGTAAGCGATGAACTCTTCGGCTTCAGCGGAGGCGCTTAGGTAAACCGAAGATCTCTTCGGCTTCGGCAGAGAGGCAGGCAGATTCCGCTTAGACGGGATAAATTGGGTATATTTAAAAGAGGTAAAGGTTAATTTGGGGATGGAAAAGTTTTTCAAGAACCGGCTCTTTTAAAGGGTAGATAGATTTATAATCTTTTATTTTTTTTTAATAATTTAACAGGTATCAGGGAAAATATATCATACTATAGCCCTACCTCCGATCAAACTTTTGTATAGATGCAAATACCTACCTCAAACAATGAAAGTAACAGTGGACTCACATTTATTTGCACTCGCATTCGTAATCTCTAGAGACACTAGTTTTCTTTTGGAGATCAAAAGAGGAATTTTTTTTTTTTTTTCACAAAACATTCGACATTGTTATAGAAAACATCCATAAACCAACCAGCTCCTATATTAAAATGTCGATAAAAGAACAATGCCATGGCGAACAACAAAAGTTATTCGTTGTCGATGGTCAGAACAGAAGATAAACTAATGGCAATAATTAATCTTGGATGCACTTCTCAAATAACTAGAAGAAAAACACTCAAAAAAGAACAAAATAACCCACCGTGTCCGTTTCAGAAAAATTGAAACATCAAATATAGAAATTTTAGTAACCATAAACAAATTCTCAGAAACAGCAGCATGTTACATCTCGACAAGGAGAAACATCAAATATCCTTTGACATTGTTAACCATAAAAGCATATATTAAGGAATTATATCGACAAGGCCCAGAAATACATAAAATTCTACAAGCTGAAGATGCACCAAAGAAACACCAAGTTCAGTTTGCAACTTGCTTGCTTCTTCGTTGATGAACATCCCAGTTATAAACCCGAGCAATAATTGTTGCCTATATATACAAGAATAATAGAAGTCATGTACAAATGTAGACGAAAACTGCTCAATTAGCAAAAATGTTTTAGTTTAATTACAGTACAAGGAGAATTAGGCATTTGTGCAGTAATCCTCATGGTAATCCTTGTTCGCTGGATTAATGGCGGACAAAAAAACTATATAGTACAAGGGGAAAAGTTTGACACAGATGCTCCATTTTAAGAAAAACTATATAGTAATCCTTGTTCGCTGGATTAATGGCGGATAAAAAAATAGTTACCATTAGACTATTACAGTACAAGGAGAATTAGGCATTTGTGCAGTGATCCTCATGGTTAGTTTTCTCCAATGTTTAACTTTTACACTAGCTACTTCCCTAATCCTGCAAATAGAAAGATTATCATTTTCCGAAGTCTATTCTTGGAAAATAAGTAAATAGAGCTCGATAATAGTTTAATCATCATATCATATCATACTCTTTTTAAAAGTACGAGTTGGAGAAAATCTTTCCATGGTCAATATTACCCTTAATTTTTTTTAATATTATATTGTTATCCTATTCTATTCTAATTTTTCTATCTTTTTTGAATTTATAATTAAATAATTTATCCTATCCATAATGAGACTTAACATGTTATTGGATAAAGGTGATATGTTTGATATAATTCAAATCTTTTACTTATTTCAAATTGTAGAGAAATCAAAAAAATATATGCTAGCGAGCACCTAAAAGTTTTTTGACCTTGTAGAAAAATACCCTCAAGATAAAACTCTAAAAATTTATAAAACTCTAAACTTTTTACAAATTGTAAGATAAAAGTCTCAAGATTGTAAAATTTATAAAAATTCTCATAATTTCTAACCTAACAGTACATTAAAAATATAGGAGTTATAAATATCCCCTGCATAATTTATAATTTATAGAAAATACCCTTAAAGTTTCAAAAATTACAAAAAAACACTCAAAATTCAAATTTTACAAAAAACACTCTGAGAATTTCAAACTCATTAGTAAATTGAAACTATAGGAATTATAAATAGTCTATAAACAATTTACAATCTATAGAACAGACCTATAAGTTTAAAAATTATAAAAAAACACTAATATTCATAATTTATAACATGAGAATTTCTAACCTATAGACACTAAAATGAACATACAAAATTATTAGCAACCTTAGAAAAGAGAAAAAAATTACATAAAAATATCATAATCCCTTTAAAAGTATAGGTTTAGGAAAAACTTTTCATGGTCAATATTACTCATAACTTTTTTAGAAAGAACATAACTAATTAAAAATCTATTAGATTTGAAATTTACAAAAAACAATCTTAAAGTTTAGTACATTGCAAATTACCCCTCTAAAGTTTGAAAATTTTCAATGATTTTTTGTAGTTTCTTGAATTTTAATGTAATTTTTAATAGTTTTGTGTATTTGTTAATTATAAAAGTTTAAGGTGTTTGTTTTTACAATTTTAAAAACTTTTGAGGGTATTTCATTTGTAGTTTTCTAAATTTTCATTGTGTTTTTAGTGTAATGCATAAATACATCAATTAATGATGATATTGAAAAGTAAATCGTTCTTAAGATGTATCAAGCTATAGTTAAGTGTGCACATCACTATTCTTAGGCACTATAGTTTATACATACATAAATTTTTAAACAGTCAATATGTTAGTTAAAAGGTTTTTGACTTTAATGTACTATTTTTTATAAATTATATTTAATATGAACCCACCATATAATTTAAACCGTGGTCATTATAATTTTAATATGTTTAATCGATTGACTATATAAGTATATAAACCATAGACTACTTTACTTTCTTGCATGAACGAATATTTGACACTTAATAATTTAAATTATTACTTTTAAATTATATTTATTTCTTTAGCTACAGGATAATACAATTTTAATGAACATGAGTGAAACCACAACTAAAAGTTAATGTGAATATGAGTCAAACCACAACTAAAAGTTTAATGAACATATTATAAGTAAATTCATATGCAAAATTCTTATACGAATTGAATGATCACCCATCTTTTAAAGACTTCAAGATACTAATAAACAAAGATATTGTAGTAGATCAATGTGTCTATAACTCACATCACGTAGCGATAGTTTGGATTGAAGGAAACAATGATAATATTTTATTTGAAAGAGAGATTATTATGTTGATAATCAATCCCATAAAAAACTTTATTTTCTATTTTATTTTTAATCTATTTTTATTAATTTAAATAACCATGATATTCGACCACATGCATTGCACGTGTAATCTAACTAGTAAATGATATAAGTCTGGGTTTATAAGTTTGAGGTCCTATCCTACTATAATATTCTGATCGGTATACTTTTGAAAACAACACCTTCGATGAAGGAAAATACGTTTACAAGTGAAAGATATGTAGGTGAATGTACCTGAGTTATGGTTACTTGGTCCCTCAAAAACTGATCGAAGATCGGCAACAAGAACTTCTAAACTGGCTTTAGCATTTTCCAAAAAAAAAATTCATAAGGGCATCTGCCTGCATGACATTTGCCCCCAACCAAAGACACACCGAGCCTGTGCCCTTCAGAAACTTCAAAATCAGTGATCAAAGCCTGTATCCGCCAGTAAATAAGATATCAGTACGAGACCTCCCCCTACCGAATAATTGATTCCGGCCGACTTTTATTATTTATTGTCACTGTTTGTCATAGCCGCAAGAAACCTGGTAGATGTAACTAGATATACCAATACGATAATTTAGCCGTCAATAGAGACGTTAGCATTCATTATGTAGGTGAATGTACCCATGAGATTCATCATTCATCATCTGCTCCGGAATAACTATTTTTAAAAAGTTAATTTTCCGGTGCTGACTATGCTACCATTCCAACCCATCTGATCTGTTATTGGAATTACATACTTTCCAGGTAATCCTATTTTTACCTACTAAACAAACTAAAACTGCGTTCGGATAAGTAGACGAGCATCCATATATAAGACAGAATTAGATAGAATTTATCTAACAAATGTGATTCGGTAATGATGTAGAAGGCACGGCGGACATATATGGAGAAGCGGGACAGACACAAGCCCAAACGCGGACCTGGTTGAGCAAAATAACTTGCCACGAAGAACGGGTCATATCTCTCAAATCGTAAGTCGGACTTGGACGAATTACATATGAAAATCGCATATTTTTTCGAGACGGAGTCATCCGAACCCACCATTGTTTGCTTTTCCGCTGTTCGTTTCGCCAAATTCTCTCCGGATTGAGAGATATCAGTGTTTTTATCAGTTTTTTACTATCTTAGGTAATGTTTTAGGAGTTTGTTTTGATTAGAAAACAAATCCAGTTTGATTCCAAATATGACCAATTTACGTCCCTAATTCTAGAAAGTCTTTTAGGAAGAGTTTTGTTATTTCTATTTTTGGTAAAATTTAAGTCATAATAAAAAACTTGTTTATTTTCTATTTAAATAGAATAATGTAAACCCTAGAAGCATAGCTTTTCATCAATAATTTTTTTTTAATATTTTCTTCGTGGATTCGAAGTTCTTCGTGGATTCAAAGATCATTCTTTGTAGATTCAGAAAACATTCCTTAGTGGATTCCGAGGTTATTACTTCCACATTGCATTAGAACTAGAGCAAGCCATTTGAAATCTCATTACAGAATAAGATAAGTTCACCTCTACAGCTGCAGCAAGATACTCGGAATAGAATTGAGATCCTCTCCTCATGAATCTCTCCTAATATTTCCTCATAAGGCAATCCTAGCCTTTCGTTTCATGATCGACGGCCAAGATCTCTCCTACCTCTCCCAACCCCTCTCTCTAAAAAAGTTCCTCGGAATCCACTGAAACCATCATCATCTGTCACCAACGCAATCCTACTGGCAACCAAACTAGAAACAAAATAATACAAGAAAAACAAAAAAAACCAAACAAAATTCTTAAGCACGATTCAACAATTTCTGCCACAGAGAAGCGACAAAAATTTTCATGAACAATTCCAAGCGAAATTACCAAACATTACGCATAAAAATGAAAGACAACAAATATCGTGTACTTGCATCAAGGTCTGCAACAACTAAAACCCATCATACGTAACTATCGATAAGAGACTTCCTCATCTCATCCACAATGGAGCTAGGCTGAGCTTCCCGCAGCTTGAAAACACTCTCGATCACAGAGAGCTCAGTTGCAGTAGTGTCAGATCCACAGAAAGCAGTCCAGTCATTGACAGTCATGCCAGCAGCAATCACTTCACTTCCTCTGTTCACAGTTCCTGCAACAAGAGGGACTTGGAGAAGAGTAGAAAGCTCATCGAGATCCTCAATTGATGTGTGTGGATGAACCTGGTTCAGGTAATGGCTGAGATTAGAATACATAGTTTGACAACAATAACAACAGCCTTTTTTAATCTCAAATTTAGGATTGGCTTCATGAACCTTATTCTTCCATTAAATTGCATCATGAGTCAGCTCCGCTTTACTATTATCATATCAATATTTATTGTGTCCTACCAAATTCTTAGATTAGAATATGAAGTTATGATATGCAACTCCTGTTTGCTCGTATAGAAATAGAAGGTTAAAAACTTACCAAGCCGCCTCTGTTGGAGAATGCACAATAACTACCAACAAGGATGTTGCCAGCGATTGTCTGCCTAAAAACCTCCACACCAAGTACATCTGCAATGATCTCCTCTGTTTCCTGGAAGTTGGTTTCAAGAACAAAGTGTAAAAAGCAGACTCAAATAGTTGAGAACAAATTATGCTATACGTTAATGGCACGTCCATGACACTGAAGCATGGCATGCATATACTTGTACAAACTTCAATTTGCGACCTTCAGAAAATCTTAAGGGAAAAGAATCCTATAGTCTGAAAATCCAGAAGTGACATATCCCGAAAACAATAAAGTTGGATGATTCTTAACCATCCAGCTTAAAGATTCATGCAGAGGATTTCGCATCAACATCCAGTTCACCCCTACATGATATTCAGTAGAGTGCCCCCCTATACCTTAAGCAAGCATCATAAGCCATATGTAACACTACTCCACATGAAAATAACAATAACATGCACAGTTCAAATCATTTGTGTAGACATTATGTCCAACAAGTTAGAATAAGGTGGGGAAAACTTACTCTGTCTAGATCAGTGTGGGTAAGAGCGACATGGTCGTTACAAGCAACACAATTGCCTAAAGCAGACAGTCGCTCCTCAATGCGCTGAACAACCACTTGGTCAGGCAAGCAGTTCCTCAAGTGTTGAAGCTCTACAACCAAAAACAAGTGACGAGCAATTAGGCAACATATCTAATTTACTTCAAAAGTACTCAGCAGAACTATTTATAGAAGGTCTCACCAACAAAACTTCAAATTAAAATAGTGGATACTTTTCAGAAGAATCCACCATTGTAGATAAGTAAATTGATGTACAATGAAAATAGGTATGTTTAAATGGGCTTGTGCATTATAAGCATATAAGAAATCTTCAATATTGAACACTTGCACGGCATTACAAATTCATTGCACACATAACAATGAGCTCTGATATGAAGATAAAAAAATAGCAAAAATTGCAGTATTTAAAATGTCCTTTTAGTTATCCGAGAACCATTATCCAAAAATCGGACACCCGTAGAATTGCAAAACAAAAATGGCTTTCCAGATCTTTGATGGCACCAACTTTTCTTGAAAAGTGGAAACATTGTCTTATCTCGACTGTCAAAGAGATACAGCAGCTAAAAAGATAGAGATTACATGAAAAAGTTGGACTATGAGTAGATAGTAGTCACAGTAGTAAATAAGTGTGTATCACAGCACATGCCATCTAGTTGATTTTGAACAGTATCAATTTAGAACGTGTAGAACAGCACTCAGCCTTTCACTCAGCACATCAATGAGTAAACATCTGAATTTGCAATTTACCCCCGACTTCTCCACCAAAAGGGACATTATCTTTTTCCTTTTTGTTTTTCTTCTTCTTTTTTGGGGGTGGGTGGGGGGGGGGGGGCCGTTAAGAACCCTCGATACACAGTTTGGTTTGCAAAAGAACAGATCCCATATATGTAGCATATTCTATGTTCGGAGCGGCTGAATTTTTTGGCTATTCAAGGATTCAGACACCCAAGATACCTGAATTGAGGTCCAATTGTTCCTCCCCATCTAGATGTTTTATAACACAATAGTAAGAAACGTGTATCAAAATATATGCTATCAAGTTGATTCTGAACAGTATCAATTTAGAACGTGCAGCATAGCTTTCACACTTTCACTCTACATGTCAATGAGTATAAACATCAGAATTTGCAATTTCCCCAACTTCTCCACCAAAAGAGACATTACCTCTATTTCCTTCCCCCCCCCCCCCCTTTTTCTCCCAGTTCGGTTAACTAGTTGGAGGGGCTGAATTTTTGGCTATGCAAGGATCCAGACACCCAAGATACCTGAATTCAGGTCCGATTGTTCCACCCCATCTAGACGTTCTATGACGACGGCTCTTATTTTTGTAAGAGACCTCCCATGGTTCGATTTAAATAGTTCAAGAGAAGAACAGTCTGACCATGTGTACATACATACGTATGTTCTAGAAAAACAGTCAGACATCATGAGATAAATCTCTGAAGTCGCAATTTCCCCCAACTTCTCCACCAAAAGAGCCCCCCCCCCCCCCGCACCCGAAAAAAACAAAAAAAAAAAAAATTCTTTTGCGTTCTTTATTTAGTGTAAGAATCTCCCATACAGTTCGGTTTAAATAGCTTGCAAAAGAACAATCCGACATATATATGTACATATCAATGTTAGAGGGGCTGAATTTTTGGCTATTCAAGGATTCAGACACCCAAGATACCAGAATTCAGGTCCAATAGTTCCACCCACTGTTTTAAATATCGGCCGATAATCGATATTATCGGCCGAGTTATCGGATTTGGTAGCTCTCCGCTAGGATAAATTGGATTTTTAATCAGTTATCGTTTTTCTAGGTTTATCGGCGATTTATCGGCGTTATCGGCACTTATCGGCCGATAAGTAAGACTTTTTTATCGGGATTATCGGCCCATTTTGACTAACATTATATTTTTTCAAGGCTATGATGCAAGTTTCGCTTTCTACAATTGGTTAATGATTCTAAACATGATGATTTACATTTTGGTATGTTTATATTTCATTAAGCATGATTAGATTACATTTTTTAATTGTTATATTATATATACACATCATCCAGTATATCACTCCGATAAATACTACTTATCCTCGATATATCCCCGATTTCCGCTATCCGATAAGGATTTTGGCCGTCCGATAAATCCCCGATAACCGATATTTAAAACCTTGCCCTATCTAGACGTTCTATGCCACGGCCTTCTTTCTGGAAGAACCTCCCATGGATCGATTGAAATAGTTCAAGAAAGAACAGTCTGACGTACGTATGTTTGAGGGGATGAATTTTTGGCTCTTCAAGGATTCAGATGCCCTAAATTCCTGAATCCCAGTCTGATGGTTCTACCTATCCGGACATGCTACGCATAAACCCAAGGTTCATGGCATTACAAGGAACTCCTAATGGTGAGGAAAATACCACAAGGCCACCCCAACCATCACGCAAAAGTTTGATATGAAGGGCCTAATTCATCCACCCAGCCGCAAAGAAAAGATTAACATAATCTAATCTAATGGATATGGACTGTTAAAATCTACAATATATAGTGGCAGGGAAGTTCATCTGGACCATTTCACAGGAGCCATATACCTTATATCAGTTTAAATCCCTCGCGTTTGCTTCTATTTGCTTAGTAATCATTGTTTCATTATGATATGAATCTATCTATATTATTGATAAAAATATAGCGAAATCCCATTTCCAGATTGCAAAAGCAAATGAGCCAAAAGGAAAGAAAAAATAGCTGAAAAGTTAAGGTTGAGGCACAAATAAAGAATCAAACAAACAGAACTAAAGTTGAAAGAAAACAAAACTGATACAATTTCCAGCAGAAATTACCTTGGTCAGTGGTGTTATGCGGCAAGAGAAGCCCATTCTTGTTCCCTAATTAACAGAAAAATGACCTAGTTAGCTACATGTAGGTATATTACTAATCTTCTAGGTGAAAGGCAATCACAAAACTCACCTACACAAAGTCGACCAATAATCCTAGTGCCTGCAATTGAAGTTTTGACCACAGGGATAACATCAGCAAGCTCAGCTTCAAATGTACTGCATGGTACCCATAAATCATCAAGAAGGTTTTGACGAAATGCAGCAATATACACCATTGAGTAGATATAACCTTTCCACCAAAACAAACCTGTAGAAATTTTCTGATCCACCGATTGCAACCAAACAGTATGCATTTGTTAGCTTGGAGAAGACTCCAACCTCACAACAATTCTCAAATTGAATTCCTGTGCAAATGCAGATGAGAAACTCGCCCGAAGATTCTCTATTTATTATTTATACAATAAAACTATACCTAGTTCCTGTTCTGATGTTGCAAGTAGCGGGAGGTGACACTATTTGTTTTTTCTAAAGCATATGAATATGAATATATTGTTCACGTAATAAAATTGATAGTCACATTTGGCAAGGACAAAGCAGAGCTATATAGCATACAGTACTAGTCAGAGAACCAATGAGAACAGGAAAAGAGAGAAAATTGGGTCCGATCCTTGCAAATAGTCTAATACATGAGATATTAAAATATTAATATCCTCTGTTGCTTATTAAGATTCTATATAGTGTCATATTAGGAAGGCAATAAGCATGTTCGATCAAGGAACTTTAACATTCATATATGTATCAAATAGCTATTTCATCACTACCATAGCCATCTCCAAATCCATACTTTAAGCAGACATTTACCAAATCTTAATACTAAATTGGATAAGCAGCCTTCAGATTTTAAAACATTTATATTTATATATGTATCTAATAGCTAGTCCATCACAACCATACTCATATCCAAATCCATACTTTAACTAGGTAGCAACCCAAATTCTAAAGATATTCATGAAAAGAATACTAAGTGGGATAAGTAGCCTTTGAACTTAATATTTATCTATGTGTGCAATACCTATTCCATCATTAGAATACCCACATCCAAGTCCATGCTTTACGCAGACACACTTCAATTCTAAAAAAAAATCATGGAAAGAGCACTAAGTTGGATAACAACAGACTATAGCACTCATTGCATCTGATTCAATGTTAAACCCAAAATAATCCATGAGTAAAACCCAAAATGATTCAAGTACCTCAAACTCTAGGACAAATAAACATTCATCTTACGAGTATGACAATAACAAAAATAAGTATGATTCAGGAGAAAAGAAAAGCATGCTGGATGCACGAGAAAGGAAAGTGTTACGGATCAAAGTTGGAAAACCGCAGTTACTGTATAACATCATTTTAGATTCTAAACAATAATTATCCACTGTATGTAATTGTCGCCAATGGAGGACATATGTTCATCTCAAGTAGGGGGGAAAAACTATTTGTCTGATAATTTATGTGTAGCTCTCCTAAAAAGGACATGTGCCACAGAAGCAAGGGATAGTACTCATCACCAATTGGAGTTTTTCCAAATATTGTATGCTAAATCAAAATTTGAGCGTCCTGAACGAAACCAATGTCACAAAGCAGCACGATACTTAATTCTTCAAGAGCATATTTCCAAATAAGCCCATAATTCACAAAATGTAAAATGATGGTATCAGGCATCAACAAGTTTTCGATGTCCCAAGCTTCTACCCTCAACTTCTTTAGGAAATAAGTTATGAATCACAGAGAAGCTCACTATTAACATATACAGGGGTACTGAAATGAGTCTAACTTACTAGTTGCCATGGTGTCCTGCCAAAAAAAAAGCCCAAATAACCTGCAAAATCAAAATTAGAAATAAGGAAAAACCCATTTCTCTCAAGCATCTAATTGATCGGAATCAGCCATCCGATCAAGATGACAAGAAGACAATAACACGGGAAAAAAAAGAATCAAAACCCTAACCAAATACAGTTCTAAAGATTGAAGATAGAACGGAGAGAGAAAATCTCACCAAAAACCAATTGACCGACCGAACTTCTGAGGAGCGGAGCGAATCCCAAACTCAGAAACGATCGACACGATCGACGGAGGCTTGGAGGGAATTGAATTAGGGTTTCGAGATTCCAGAATGAGAGCGAGAGGGCTTTTCTGCGTGTGGATTTGAGCGTTGACTATGCTTAGGTCCCTACGTTGCTTGTTGGGCTGTCAACAAGGCCCGGCTAATAAACACAACAAGGCCTGCTGCCTTTTGATGCTTTAGCTTAAGGGCCTGTTTGGATTCGTAGGGGGTGAAGGGAAGTTAAGGGAAACTGAGTGAGGGGAAGGGAAGGGAAAGGAAGGGAAGGGAATTCCCTTCCCCTTGGTTACACCCCAATTTGAGGGGTAACAATTTTTATACTATTAGGGGGTGAACCAAGGTGAATGGAGGTGAATTAACTTCACCTCCTAAGTGTTCCCAAACAAGATGAATGGAGGTGAATGGTTCCCCTAACTTCCCTTCACCCTCATTCCCCTCAATCCAAACAAGCCCTAAAGGTAGATAAAATTGAAAGACAGGCTAAATTTTGAAATTTGCAAATATATTTTGTTTTTAAACATTTAACTTTCATGCGCTCACACTTCAAGGGGGAAAAATTGCCATGTACTCTAATTCATCAACAAAATGAAGTCAAAATTAGTCCAAACCTCTGGATCGATTGTACAAATGCTCGTCTAAAGCTAGTCAAGTATCAACTATTAGAACATTGAAAAGGGTATGTTTGGCAATTTTGAAAATAATCTAGACTATTTTCGAACTAGCTTCACTTGACCTAGTTTATACTAAACTAGACTTTATTGAACTAGTTATAACTTAAATCTAGTGTGGCCAATTTATAAACTAACTTTTGTCTGAGAAAGTTCTCCTTTAAACCAGATAAGAGTTGATTTGTTTCTAGTCTAGTTATTGAGCGAAAGCGAGCCTCAAAAAAACTAGTTTATTTCTTCTTCTTCTTTTTATTTGTCAAATAAGATCTGAACCCATAGGCTCAATTTTGTCTCCACTAAAACTATTTTACCCAGTTTGTCAAACAAACCCTAATGTTTCTTTAAATTATTATGTTCGACCAAAATTTTTTTACTTTAATTTAATCCACAGGAGATTATTGATGCTGACAAAATATTTGTCATCATGGTATGACATTTATTTGTTTTCCTTTATCGTATAAGTCGCCATTTTAAGCGACATAACTAAGATGTTGGAAAACAATAGTTGACATCGAATTTACCTGTTTTTCTTGTGCAAACATGCGTGAGTCATGAGATGCAGGAATCATATAATTTCATAATTCCTCATTGAAGTTCAACTATTCTTTTTTGCAACTTGAATCCTCGTCGCTGTAAAAAAAGTAGTGGAGAGACTACTATTTTTAATCTCAATTACTAATTATCTAGTGAGTTGTTGTGATATATTTTAAATTTAAAATTGATCACACCTAGGGGTGGAATCGAATCGAATTTGAACGAATAGTACAATGTTCAAATTCGAATTCGGTTCATATTGGGCTATTAGTGTTCGTATTCGGCTCGAATAGTTATACAAATTCGAATTCGATTCGTTTACATATATTGATGTTCGAAAAATATTCGCGAATATTCGTTTAACCTTATTCGGCAATTTTGATTTTGAATTATTCGTCAAATATTTGATATGTATTTGCTAATAATTCGAAAATCATAAAAAATAATCATAATCAGTAAACAAAATGCATTAACCACCTGCTGGAAATAATTTGGGGAAAAAAGTTTTTACAAAAAAATTAACAGAAAATATAAGATGAACCTGACGGGGAGGAGGGTGTCGTCGGCTCGTCGCGGGGATGAGGGCGTCGTCGGCTCTTCGGCTTCGTCGGCTCGTCGAGGGGAGCAGGGCGTCGTCGGCTCGTCTAGGGGAGGAGGGCGTCGTCGGCTCGTCGCGGGGAGGAGGGCGTCGTCGGTATGGGTAGAAGTTGTAATAAAAAAATTTTGATGGGTAATATTTACAACAAGTTTAATTAATAGTATTAACATATAAAAAGTTATCGAATAGTTAATAATTAGTCGAATTGAATATACCTTTAGTTAAATTCTATTCGTTTATAAGCCGAATACTGAAAAATATTCATTTAGTGTTAAATGAACTGTCGGATCGAATATGACCGAATATCTGGACGAATATTAGACGAACTGTTTATTAAATATTTGGTTCACTTCCACCCCTAATCACACCTACGTGCATTGCACTCATTTCTAATTTATATATTCAAAGGAAAAAAATCATAATCTCCCATTAAGTAATCAATAATTATAATTAAGTAGTAGTTTCTTCAGTATTTTTTGATAGTACAAACGATTTAGTTCTTTTTTTTTTACCTTGCATCACAAACATAACTAATTTACGATGGTCCGGGAGTTATAGCTAGTACATAACTAATTTACAATGGTCTGGGAGTTATAGCCACTAGCTATGTAGTTGAGAGGCTGTGCGGAATTAATAAACCGCTAAATATGACACAAGAGTTTGTGTTTGGCAACCCAAACAAAACTCGCTGGGATTAGCTTTGGTCAAAATAGAGCTGATTTAGTGTCCAAAAATCAAGACAGTTCCAACCTTTCTTTTCGAAAAAAAAAACACAGCAAATGGATTGTCAAAAGCATAGGATAGCAAAATTCAAAAGGGTTGTCAAAAGCAAGGGATAGCAAATGGATTCAGAAACAATACTGTGGACAAAAGTAATTAAAACCCCAAAAAAGGATTATTATTTTTTTTTTAACGAGCGGCAGAAGAAGCAAGAGCGAAAGCCACCAAAATCTCTCGACAAGAATATAAACGTTGCTCAAAAATTCAGCCCAAAAACCAAAATACATCAAGCTCCACAAAATAAAAATCCCAATCAGCTCCTGACCCGCCGGCGAGTCCAGACCCAAGGGCCCCGCCGACAAAAACCCAGCGAGCAGCTTCTCGCCCGTACCTGCCTCGACGCCGTCAATAATCCGAATACTGTCGAGTAGTCAACGCAACGCATGCTTCCTAACACCCCGGCACCAACTCGCCCAAAACCCTAGCCTTCGCCTCACGCCGCCGCCGGCGTCTCACCGCCGTTCCCGAGGCCTTGATGCGACCCCACGGAGGAATCGCGCCGCGCTCCACCTCGATCGCCCGCCAGCCGTCGCGCGCCAGGGCGCGGATCGAGCGGAGCGGACAGCGAGGCTCGTCGGAGGAGAGTGAAGGAGCGCGGAGAGAGGAGAGGAGTCGAGGAGTGAGATCTGCTGCTGCTTCGGTTCCCATGGGAGAGAGAGGAGAGCTAAGGGTTTCTGATCGTGCGCTTTTGCTTTCTTAGATGGAGGCGAATTCGGTATTCGAGATCGCGGCGGATTAATTCGTGGAGGATGAGCTGGACGCATCTTGATTCTTGATCGCCGGAAGAAAAAAAAATTATGTCAAATTTAGAGAAAAAAAGTGATGAATTCCTTCAGCCCCGTCAACAAGTACTGATCTTTCCAAAGTTTTATCAAATTTTCACCTAAAAAATTAGAAATTTACATGAGATTGAGTTTCATGTTACCTTTTGAAGATTGTTAATTGCTCAATTTTAGAGAGAGAGTGATGCGATGAGGGTGAAGAGTGAAGTTTTTGGAGGGTTTTAAAGGGCATTTCAGGGGAGTGGGAGTGGACGTCGCTTTAAATGCCAATGGATTTAAATCTGCCTTCACGTGGAGGGGAAGCTTTACGCTATTCTTTGAAATGACTATCTTGCCCTGACAGTTAGTTGCTGGCCCCATACACCATTCCATCATCAATCCACAGGTCTTTATGCTTGTCTAGTGCATCGTGATTAACTATAATGATTAAGTATTTTCGGTTTATTTCTTATTAAAATGTTGTTCATCAGTTATGCTTACTTTGATGGTTTTTTCTTGCTTATGTTCTAAATTTTAGTGTTATGATTTTTTTTTGTATGTTTATATAAATAAGTAAACAAATATAATGCGAAGCCAATTTGAATTATCATATTATCTAGACCGGCATAAAATCAAACTTAATCTGAGAATAAATAGTGTTGCAAAAGTAAAAAAACACTTAAAAAGAGCATAATAAAAGGAAGATGAATAATTAAAGTTAATAAGAGAAGATGATTGAACGTGGGCTGAAATAAAACAAAAGAAAACATGGATTTTGTTACTAATCCTTGATAGACTTAAAGAAAATCATATATTAATAAAGATCAATGTTAACTCTAGTACACTATTAAATTATAAAAATATCTATATAAGCATATAAAAGTACTAAAAAATTTCATAAAAATCGCTTCTAAATATTCATAATTTACTTAAAAATAAATTATTCTATAAAATATTCAGAAAATAATATCTTTCATTCATTCTGTTTTATTTTTTATTGAGCTCACATCAATCATTCTCCATTTTTATCTTTTTTGATAAAATTAGACTACATTTAGATGCTAAAAAGGGATAGAGAATCCTATATTAAAAATTAAATTGATATATCTTAATGAAAGAATATCAAACAACTACTATTTTCTTTGTTAAGTTTTGAAATTTTAGTCTTTTTTGTGATTTTGAATTTCTATGGCTGTGTTTTACAAATTTTGAAAGTTTGAGAATGTGTTTTTAAAATTTTAACTTTTAATTTAGGTGTTTGTAATTTCATGTTTCATGTGGTGGTAAGTTTTTGTAACTCTAAAATTTTCAGGCAGTTTTTTACAATTATTAAATTTTAGGATTATTTTTTTTTGTAAAATTCAAACTTTCAAAGGACTGTTGATATTTTCTAGATCTGATATTTACTGGTTATAGGTTATGAAATTTTAGGTTTTTTTGTGATTTTTACTTTTGAAGAATTTTTTTTTTCAATTTTTATAATTTTGAGGTTATTTTTTGCAAATCTTAAATTTAGGTGCATGATTGTAATCATTTGAATTCATTTTTATTATTTGCAAGTTTTGAATTTTTAGAATTTCATGGTGTTTTTTAATTATTTAAACTTTTGAGGGTATTTCTATAATTTTTGAAATGCCGAGGGTGTTAATTATAGTTTTTTAAATTCTTCAAAGATTACTATTAATTTTCAAATTTCATATTTGTTATTTTTAATTTTGAAATGACATGATATTTTGTGTAATCTTAAACTTTTGAGGGTATTTTGTGTACTTTTAAATTTTTTGGGTTATTTTGTAATATTTCATATATTAGCATGGTTGTTTTTTTTTACCTTAACAAACTAATAACGTAGAGCTATTTCATGTATTTTATTAATCTTATTTTTTTAAATAATTGAGCTACATATAGTTCGCATGGGATTAAGATATAATATAATTATGATTTGAGTATATTAAGATTTAAATAAAATATTCAAAATGATGAATGGTAATATTGATGATGAAAAGCTTTTTTTCTAACATCGTACTTTTTAAGTGAGTATGATATTAATTTTTTTTCCCTATTTTCATTTAAAGTAATTTTCATAGCATTTGTTTTATCTTAAAAATAACTGAGTATGAAAGAGAGTGCTATCTATTAGATTAACATTAACTCTAGTAGTTGTGAATATAACCGAGTCCATTTTTAATTATGTATCGATAGAAAAAAAAAATTTCACATTGCGTTGCTACAGTAGTGACAAATTTCTCACGTTTGCTTTAAATTTGTGCATAAGAGTGCTAATAAAATAGCTAATGTTATTGAAAAGAATCTGTCTAAATTACCTTTATTATTGTCATAAGATTACATGCAGCTGATCATCAGTTGGACGCTCAAATTCATTCTCATCAAGTTGATAAATTTTTCCTATTTTGTATATAAAAAGAAACGTGGCACATTAGCTTTAATCCAGACTCTTTGTTATCAGAAGGGGAAAAAAAATAATCGCTTTAATCCAGACTCTTCCCCCTTGGCCCCTCTAGTCACAAAGGTCAATTTTGCCCTTGGACTCTCCCTGAACGTACGGCCATTCCACGAACGGGGCAAAAGAGAGTGGGGGCAATTTCGTCATCCTCCCTCCCGGCGACTAGCGATTGGGGATGCCGACTCCACCGAGGACGCCATGAGATGCCGGGCTTGTCGTTTTAGCCGAGTGAGGAATGAAGGCGAGAGTGGTAATTTCCAACTGCCAGTTTGTCGTTAGCGGGAGCCGGTGTGCTGGAAAGCGAAACGGCAGTTGACTGCAACCGCAATCCACGTGGGCTTATATTTCCGGGTACCCGCAATTGGCAACTTACATTGACGAAATTACCCCTTCATGATTCTCACAGTGCAGACGGGTCTTCTATTTTGGATGAAACCCGATCCGACAGTCGGGACGACGGTTTATTAATAATTTTCGTTTGGTTCGTTATTGATGCGGATGTAATTGGTCGGTAACTGACCGTACTTTGTTATAATTCACGGCCCATCTTACTGTCAAGCTTAGTACTTGAGAATCTATATGTTAATTTTGACTTTAAGGAAATAATCCAATTAGCAAGAAAGCCTAAACCCCTTAAATCTATACTACTATATAAAAACCAACTAAGGATAGTGCAAAGTTGGATGAATGGCGGACAAATCCTTCTCCTCAATTGTAGTTGAATTTAACAATAATTATGTTTTTTCCCCTTTTCTTTTTTTTGCTTCTAGAATATTTAATACCATTCAATGCCATGAGAAAAAAGAGCTCACATAATTGAATGTTTTCTTGACAATTTATGTTATAAAAAGTAAAGTTCTATGCATATATCTATACCGTAATTATTTATACTAACACACAAAGAAAATTAATAGAGGATTTTAGGTTCAAAGAGACATTCGAGTCTGAGACGAAAGGCATTTTCAAGCCAGAATATGTTAAAGAAATCTGATTAATTACGAGACGAAATACATCTTCTGATAGGACTCCACTAGATAATATATAGAACAACAGAATGACATACTAGTCTCATCAACACCATTCGCATTTAAAGCATGGCCAGTCAATCCTCATGCTTTGTTGCATAGTCACCATAACATTAAATGTATGATCATAGTCATAATGACTCATCGAGCCGAAGTCAGTCATTATGACTTTTTCAGACGATGCCTGCACTTCCGTCATTCTGCCGCGACATTAAATGCAAAATTGACTGACTCAAGCAACCATCGATGCATGTAAAGTGGAGTCTGATCGACCAACTCCACTGACGTGTCAATTTTCCTATGTGCCCCCCACAAATTCTCTATAAATAGTGGATATATATAACCCCACTACACCAAGGTGCGTATAAAACGAAATCCCACAACTAGCTAGATTTTACGTTCCACTAGTTTGCTTGATTTATCACCGACTTAAACGTCGAAGGGCATATGCCGGGAAGTCCTCTCCGACCCTCTAACAAGTGTTGTCTGTGCAGGGATCCGCTTCCCCAGATTAATCAATCATCATAGAATATTTATATTAAGACCCTAATCTCCTCAAATACCCACCCACTCCTTTGCACTGCCGACCAAGTCACACGGAGGGGCCGTAACAGGGGTTCATTTGGGGTCTAGATCCGATAACAGTCGACCCGAAAAGACTCCAGAACTGGGACTTACATGTAATTATGCATAATGCACGTGGCCTCTTTGGACAAACCTGATCATCCCCACACAGGTCAGGGAGCCGCGGTGCCGTCACCGCCCTTCATCAGTCCTTTCCCCTCCCTCCCTCCTCCTCTCACTTCACACAACTTGTCATTTTCTTGCATTTTCGATGGAATTATTTTGGAAACTTCCTTCCAAATTTGAGGAAACATCCAGGAGCAGGCCATTTTGTTTTTACCCCCTCTAATGATTATGGGCTTTTCCTAATACTAAAAAAATACAAGTAGTGTATATGTCACATGCATTTTTGGGGTGGCTTTGAATTTGTTTAGTATTATATCTTATCCCACTATTTTGTACCTATTGCTCCTTTATAGAAGTGGATATAGTTCTTCCACGTAGCTCGCACGAAAGAGATGGCCACGTTATAATAGGGGTGTCCAAAAAGCCCGTCGGGCCGCGGCCCGGCCCGGGCCGGCTCTTTGGTGCCCGGTCAGGGCCCAGCCTGGAATAGTAATTTTTTTTATTTTTATTTTATTTTTTATATGTATTATATATGTATAATATATGTATATATAAATATATAATATATATATATATATATATATGAGAAAACGGGAGGTGAGCTGGCAGCGTAGGAAATTTCCTGCGCTGCAAGTGTATGACATGTGAGCCCTCCTATAAGTCACATCGGTGTGGGTCTCACATGTCATACACTTGCAACGCAGGAAATTTTCTACGCTGCCAGCTCACCTCCCGTTTTCTCTCTCTCTCTGCTACTACTTCTCTCTCTCTTCCTAATATAACTAATATATATATTACTATATATATAATAATATATATAATATATACATATATATATATAATATATATATATATATATATATATATTATTATATTTTATATATATACTATTATACTATATATATTAATATATATATTATATATATTATGATGACATATATCATAATATATATCAATTTAAAAACTGTATATGTAATTCATTGTATATATGTTATAATATTCATAATGTGTATTATATATACTCTCTCTAGTATATGAAGTACTACTCATCTCTTATATAAGTATAAAGTATAATATAAAGTATACTTTCTCTATATCAAGTATAATATAGAATACTCTCTCTTATATAATGTATAATGTATGTAATATCTCTCTCTCTTAGATATATATGATATATATAAGTAATCTCCTGCTTATATAATGTTATACTCTCTCTTATATAAGTATATACTTAAGTATACCCTCTCCTTATATATTGTATAATATAATGCTGTGATTATACTATAATCTAATATACTCTCTCTCTTAGTATATATAAGTTACTCTCTTATATATATGTATACTACCTCTTATATAAGTATACTCTCTCTTATATATGTATAATATGTGTGTGTATACTCTCTCTCTTAGTATATAAATATATATAAGTATAGTATATTATAACGGCTACTTCTTCCTCATTGGCCCAACGGGCAACGGCTACTTATGCGATTTTCTCTCTCTCTCAAGTTATAACTTATAAATATATACAATATATTTACATATAATATATAGTTACATAATAATTTGTAAGTATATACTAATACATAATTATATAAAATATAATAAAATTAAACTAATTTTTAGCATTTTTTTATAAAAAAAAGAAAAGAAAAGAAATTTAAAAAAATCTAGTTGGGATGTACTTATCTATTGTGATGCGATGAATTCCAAAATAAATTTATACTTGTAATTTGTAAATGATTTATTAATTATTAATAAAAAATTTATTTTTTATAATTATTTATTTGTAATTTATGTCATTTTAAGTGATTAATAAAATTATTATTTTTTATTAAATTTTTTGTCTTTTTTGTATAATTTAAAAGTTAAATAAAATTTAAAAATTTTGATAAATTTTTTTTAAAAAAAGTAAACCGGCCCGGCCCGGAACCCGGCTCAGTCGGGCCCGGCCCCGGCCCGGGGTACCCGGGTTCGGGCTCCGGTTTTTCCCGGCCCGGCCCGGATGGACAGACCTAGCTACAACCCCCAACTTGTTTTTAGGCATATAATTAATTAATAAGTGAAATCACAATGACACAAACGAGAAGTTAAAAGGATTATGTACAATGTTCAGCGACATCGTAGATTAGCGTTTACTATTTTTTTTTTTGTGTAAGGTAAATTGCAACAATTATTTTATTTTTTGTCCACTATATTTCTCACCATTTCTCAACTGATTCTTAGCACTTGTCACCCTTGATCGACATCTTTGATAAGGACAAATTACAAATAGCACTTTCTACCCCTCATGAATTCGGATTCGGATCCTCTTCATTATCAAAAAAGTAGTGGAGGGATCACTACATAATCACAACCATTGATTATCTAGTTGATGGTTATGATTTGTTTTTTTAGTGCAAATTAGGAAATAGTGCAATACACGGGGGTATGTTGAGTGTTAGATTTAGATCGTATCATAATCGCATACTAAATAATCAACGATTGATTGAGATTAAAAGTAGTGGTCACTCCACTACTTTTTGTAGTGGAGAGGATCCAAATTCCATGAATTCCAAGGGGGGCACACTACCGATAAAGGATTCGGATCCTCTCCACTACAAAAAAATAGTGGAGGGACCACTACATAATCACAGCCATTGATTATCTAGTTGATGGTTATGATTTTTTTTTTAGTGCAAATTAGGAATGAGTGCAATACACGGGGGTATGGTAAGTATTAGATTTAGATTGTATCATAACCGCCTATTAAATAATCAATGCTTGAGATTAAAAGTAGTGGTCTCTCCACTACTTTTTTGTAGTGGAGAAGATCCAAATCCGCCGATAAAAATAGTGGTTGTAGGATAAATAACATCGTTCTGTGCTTACTTACCCCTCATATCTTCCATATTTATAAATTTATCCTCAAATATTGATATTTATAAGATTTACCCTCTAATTCTCTCACATTGGGGTTTTCTACCCTCCAACGCAACAATATTAGTATGTAAGTATGGCAATGCAAGATATTTCAAATAAAGTCAAATAAGTTTGCAATATTTTCGGTTTAAAAACTAAAACAGTCAAATGAGAGGGGCAGAAAAAATCAATGAGAGAGAATTGAGGGATAAATTTGCAAGGGTATGCATGCGGAAACCCGTAAGTAAAAATAGATGTATATATGTGGGGTTATCTGAAATTTAAGCAAAAAGAACCATTCCTTGCGTTGGGGTAGCCGCTAACGCTATCAAAATTGAAGTCATTAACTATAAAAGCCCATCCAAGCTTTCGCATAGTGGGCTAGCATGTACCAGCCCAGTGAAATTTCCTCCCTACAATAAAACGGCGGCAAAGAGAAACACCTAAATATTTCCCGCCCAAATCCCAATATCGAGAGATCGAGGTCCAGATCGAGATCGGGAGCGATAGATGGCGTCGGGATCTGGTTCGGGTCCATGGAGCCAAGAGGAGGGAGAAGGAGATCGAGCGTCGATCGAGGCGACGACCGACGTCGAGCTCCTGAAGCGAGCGTGGAGGAACGAGAAGGCAGCGCCCGAGATCCTCAACTTCGAATCAGAACTCGTCCAGAGATCTAGAGAGCAGATCCAGCTACTCGTAAGAAATCAAAACCCTAATCTAAACCCTAGATCTTGATTACTGCCGAGGAAGCTAATTTAAACCCTAGATTTTGCTCCTTAGATCCTGAGGGAGGATTCAGCAAGTTGTGAGAATCCTAAGCCCTATAAATTTGAATAGATTGCTCTAGCATTCGTGGTTCTTGCTTAATTGACTACTAATCGAACGTAAAGATCCTTTTTGTTCAACCTTCAAGGGTAGGGGGAAGTTCAAGCTACTTAAAATCCGTGAACTCTAACATAATTCGGAACAATATCCGTATTTTTATGTACAATTGTTAATTTGAGAGCATTCTGATAGAAGATCTTTCAGTGTATTTTCGCATAATGTACTTGCAAAACCTTGAGATAATTTTCAGGTCTTCCTTGTATTCTCACTTCATGCGCAGAATATCCTTAGCGAAGTTGTTATCAATTATGAGGACGCTGAAACCTAGCATAAATTTTATCTTTTTTACCCCTTCCGTAAATTCGTGTTTTCTAGCTTAATCACAAATCAATATTTCACATCCAATTGGTTATGAAAACTAAGAAAAACCCAATGGCTACTTTACTTGAAAGAACTAACACAGAACTACTTGGATCCAGAGTAGCTAAGGAGCTTGTTCCAACATCCTTTGGTCGAAGAAATGAGTTTAGATGGACATTAGTTGTTCAGGGATTTAGCGAGTAGAATTAGAGTGACAAATCTGCCCTTAGCTTATTTTTGTTTAACTATATTAGAGAAAGCTTGAGGACATTTATATTTATCATTTTTGTAATTTTGTTATTTATTGTTCCCCTTTGAGGGGAAAAAAGACTAATATATTTGCGTTGCAGTCTAACGAAATAATATCCTCCCCCTATTGACAGTTCCCATCCCCTGATTGAAGTGCTTTAATTTGGCAGGATATGTGAGTTATAGAATAAGGACGCAGATGTGACTTCCTTCTCCATGAGGTTTATCTTTGAGGTCAAATCTCATAAAGTGACGATTATGCTAGCTAAAGAGGCTACTTTATATGTTATTTATACATGTTATTGTTCTTTGCACATTTTAGGTCATCTAAAAGGTGAAATATTGAGATTTTTGGTATTATTGAGTTCGGAGAACCAAAGCTCTTGGCATTTGGTTATGAGGAACTACATAGAGTTATGGTCGTGTCAGATCTGTGCCATCCAGTCTCATAACTCTAGGGTTAAATCTCTAGAAACCTACGTAAAGTCAGTTTTATAAAACTTTACAACCCTGCCTGACTTCATCTCCCTATCCCTTCTCATCCTCTCTCAAAGTAGCGAATTTAACATTATAAGAAAATTCGATTGCTCTGTACAAAGTTTTTTTTAAAACGTTCTACATGTTAGAAGATTATTGTTCTATTACCATAGTAGTTTTGATTGAAGTACTATTTACATCAGCTTACCCTTGTACTTAGTACCATCATAATAAGTGAAAGATGGTTAGAAATGTAATGAGTGGATATTGGTTATTAAAAATAGTTGGAAATGATCCACTAACTAGGAACATTTTCCTTCTTAACCATCAAAATAATAGTTCTAATATCAGATTTTTGATTTGGGTTGTAACCCAGGAAGAGACTGTGGAAGAATTTATGGAGACAGGTGCTGATGATCTTGTTGTGTCGCTTTATCAAATGGATTTAGATCGAACTCTATTCCTTTTGAGATCATATCTTCGGGTCCGATTACAGAAGGTGATCGTTCTCTCCCTCTCTAAGCGTGCACATGAATAGACACATATTCACACAAATAATTAGTAATTACATATGTGGAGCCATCTGTATATTTTGTATTTGCATTTTGATCTCTGTTTTTGGTGAGTTGTCAGACTTCAATGTGCCTCTCAATTAGTGCTAACTCCCTTGCAGATTGAGAAGTACATGATTCACATTTCAAAGACAGATCTTTGGAATCGACTCTCTGAACAAGAACAGAGGTTCGCCAAAAGGTAGAAATGTGCTATACAATTTTATGTAGATGATTTACTTCTCTTGGATTATTCTATATTTATTCTTTTTTTGTTGAACAGGTGTTCAGAGATAGTGGAAAAACATCTTAAACAATCTGTTCTGGATAAGTTGCCTTTTGGCTATGGGTCCATGCTTAAACAATCTGTCTCAAGTGAAGAAGATGATATGGGTATCATCTTGTAACATTGACTATATTATGTTTTGGCATGATCTAAATTCTAGAATATTTTTATAATCTTATCGTCATTTAGATTTAGATGTTTACGAATTACAGAAAGAAATAGTTTATTGTGCTCTGAAAGAAGTGTAGCGTATTTTCAGTTCCTAGCTCGTATGTTTTGGTGTAGGTTTCTAAATGAAATATGATTTTTATCTGCTAGTGTGACAAGAGAGTAAACAATTTGAACTATCAAAGATTGATAGGATAGCATATCCAGCATTATGTTTCTTTATCTTTCTCTTCTCAAGGGCCACTCGGTACATTTTGCTAATGCGGTATCAAGAACTTCTGTTTTCTCTTAGGAGATGTGTGGTATCAAGAATTTGATGAAAGCAAGCTAGATGGCTTTAAAATCTTCTTAATTTTTGCTTATTAGAATTGTGATATATAACTTCTCTCTCATTCTTGTATTCTATTATGTTCTATAGCCAGTAGTACTTAAATTGAGTACCATCAGCAATCATAACTGGTATTTGCATATTAGGTTGTTAACTTCATTCATCAGATCATTGGCCCTTACATTTTCTTTTTTTCTTTCTTTCAGTTCCTGAACCCCAGCTTGACACCTTTGTATTCTGCAAGACCAAAACTGCTGTTGGAGCTTTCCAGTTGGATGACGCGTAAGTGAACGATCATTTGTTTCTTTTTTCCTTTGTTGTGTATTCCATTCTCTCTCTTTGAACACCATTGATAAGCGCTTGCTCTCTTGAAAGGGGGGACGAAATTGTTGATTTGGTTGCTGATGATCTGTATGTCCTTCGCTACAAGTCCATAAAAGGCCTCGTGGAGGGAGGCAGGATCGATTTAGTGTAACATGTGGTAAGTCTTGCTCAATCTTGCAAGCTTGAACGTTATTACTAGTTGGATACATGCCTAGTACTTGTGTACTGGCATACTCTTGAGTATCTAACGGAAAGAATTGGCTCAATTGGCCCTGTTACATTATGTATTGTTGCCATCATATAGAGAAAACAGAATTTGCACTGAAGAAATTATTCTCCATTATACATTTAATTCTACTACCTATTTACATATTTAACAGTTACAGATAGCTTACGATGACTGTTGTTTCTAAGCTACGTTGTAAGAGAAACTGCAGATGTTGATGACACCATCTATTTTCGCTCTCCTGTTTTGTATATTTTTGGATGTCTGATGCAATAAAACTTAGCCATGAACATCTTGAAGTTCTGTTTATGAGTATCTCATTGTTGTTCGTCTTTGCAGAAGCTTGGCAATTTTATTAACTTGCTTGCCGTAAGATGTGCACGTGCACGCGGTGAAAGAATGGATCATAGTTACATGGAAGCGCAGGACTAAGATAAGGTTTGCTTTATTTGATTACCTTCATGTAAAACTATGAACTCAAGATGGCAACTGCTCTTATAAAGATGCTATAAATATGTACGCTACTGCTAATCTTATAACAGAAGAATGTTTAGTACAGAGGTTAGAAAGTAAAAGACATAACTACTATCAAATTCCATTTCTCTGTATCTTAACGTTCAAGATTTTGTAAAATATCCTAAAGAGATTTGAGTGCTACAATCAATGTTACATTAAACGCTGGGCGCTTCTAGGCGTCGCACTTGGCGCCCAACGCTTAGACGTTTAGGCGGGCGCCTAAGCGGTTTCTGGACGTTTTTTTTTATTTTTTTATTTTTTAATTGCGATACTTGAAGATATATATATATATATATATATACCCAATCTAAAATGCATAAATACTAAAATGCCAATACTATTAACTAAATTGTTTGGTTTACCAATTACAATAGCTCTTTATATGTTTATACTTCTCAACTCAAATTATAAGTTCATCTCAACA